AGCTATGATCATGTCATTGCACCCCAGCCTGCGTGACAGAGTGAGACCTCATCTCCAAAAAATAAAATAATAAAATAAAATAAAATAAGCTTAACAGAAGATCTGGCTTCTGTTTTTAATTACCAAAAAAATTTTTCTGTAAGCTTCTCTTACACTGGACAATTTAGGAAGTAATTCAGGAAATCTTGTAATTAATGCCAATTTTTATTCTATAGATAAACCTCCCTGTATATTTTTTTAAAGTGTGTGAAATACATATAACATAAAATTTACCATCTTAACAATTTTTAAGTGTACCGTTCAGTGGCATTAAGAATATTCGCATGGTGCAACCATCCCCATCATCCATCCACCGAAGTCTTTTCAACCTGCAAAACTGCAACTTTATACCTATTAAACAGTAACTCCCCATTTCCCGCTTCTCCAGCTCTGGACACCACCATTCTGTTTTCTGTCTCTATGAATTTGACTACTCTGGGTACTTTCTATTAGTGGAATCATAAAATATTTGTCTTTGTAAACTAGCTTCTTTTACTTAGCATAATGCCTTCAAGGTTCATCCATGTTGTAGCCTGTTTCAGAATCTCTTTCCATTTTAAGACTGAATAATATTCCATTGTACAAATACTACATTTGTTTTTCCATTCATCCCTTGATGGACAGTTGGGTTGCTTCCACCTTTGGTTATTTCAAATAATGCTGCTATGAACATGATGTATCCTATGTATCTTTTTTTTTATCCCTTTTAAAGACTTTTATTATTTTTTTTTAGAGTGGTTGTAGTTCACAGCAAACTTGAGCAGAAGGTGTAGAGATTTCCCATATACCCTCTGCCCCCCGACATGCACAGCCTCCATCCTCATCAGCACCCCCACCAGAGTGGGACCTTTATTACAATTGGTGAACCTATCTTGACACTTTTATTTTTTGAGGCAGAGTCTCACTGTGTTGCCCTGGCTAGAGTGAGTGCTGTGGCGTCAGCCTAGCTCACAGCAACCTCAGACTCCTGGGCTCAAGCGATCCTTCTGCCTCAGCCTCCCAAGTAGCTGGGACCACAGGCACGCACCACCATGCCTGGCTAATTTTTTCTACATATATTTTTAGCTGTCCAAGTAATTTCTTTCCATTTTTTGGTAGAGACGGGGTCTCGCTCTTGCTCAGGCTGATCTCGAACTCCTGAGCTCAGAACAATCCGCCCGCCTCGGCCTCCCAGAGTGCTAGGATTACAGGCATGAGCCACTGTGCCCGGCCTTGACACTTTTTTTTTAAGATGGCCTAAGCTCATAGTTGGTGTTCAAATGGTTACTAAGTTGAATTAAAATTAAAGAGAATGAGTATGCAAAATAGATGCCTAGAAATATTTCTAGTTCTGATTATTTCTCAACAAAGTATACAAAAGGTTAAGAGTCTGTTTAAAAACCTCACCACACTTCTTTAAATTGTCTTCATTTTTGTGACATATGTAAATTCTAGACTACTTTGAAGTAGGAAAAATTATATGTTTTTGTGTTCTAATTATGGAAATAGAAATATTCTCATTCAGCAAGAAAGTGTTAATGTTCTACTTATTTGAAGGGTGCTTTTTTCCCAGACTAAACTGTGAAAATGCTGTCCTGAAAGAGAATTTGAAACTGAAAACAGAAGAAATTAAAATGCTAAAGTCTGAAAGTGCAGGTAAGTAAAGAGTGGTATTTTGATGGTTCTTTAAAAATACTATGTTAAGCTGGGTGCGGTGGCATGTTCCTGTAGTCCCAGCTACTAGGGAGGCTGAGGCAGGAGTATCACTTTGGCCCAGAAGTTTGTGACCAGCCTGGGCAACATAGCAAGACCCTGTCTCAGAAAAAATAAATAAATAAAATTAAAATAT